AATGATCATTAAAAGTGTCCCTCTTCTTACTGTTCTCCTAATAAACTACGTATCTATCACTCTCATGATAAACAGGGTTACCCAGATATACGACGCAGGTGCCTGTATCTACTTCTATTTGGCCTTCAACTACACCGGAGTCGGTAATCCTATGCAGGCCTTTGAAGATATTGAGGTGAAGAAATACAGCACCACACCATGTCCGTCCGTCTTATAACCTTCTTGTGGAAAATTTGAAACCTCTCAATAAACTGGGACCATCAAAATTTCCCTCTCTATAGAGATTCAGTGGTTTTTGACTTGGTGATTACACAGGTGCACTTTATTTAGAGTGTCTGTACTTTAGAGAGGTTCCACTGTATATAGTACACGTTCTTGGCGCCATGTTTTAATGCTGAATCGTTGATCGGCAGGCCTCGGCTAGAGAAGAGATCCTGGCCAGTGGAGGGAGCCTCTCACACCATCACGGAGGTATGGAAATGTGGGAATGGGACTGTGCAACTTCGTCTCCTCTTTCACTCCCCCCTCTCTTTCTTCCTCTCCTCCCTTACTCCCTCCCCCTCTCCCCCTTCTAACAGTCGGTAAACTTCGAAAGCGTTGGATACCAGGAACCCTTGGCCCTGTTGCCATGGATATGCTGAGAGCCGTCAAATCAAACATCGACCCACAAAATATTTTCGGTTGCGGGAACCTCCTTCCCAACTAGCAATATTATACGTATATACACCCCTGATTAATTTTACATCTCTTCAAAATTTTCCCCCCTTTTACATATTTTTGTACGATTGTCACAAACATTTGACTGAATCACAGAACATGAAGGACACTTGTAAACGGTTTTCAAAGTGTGGTTTCATGAATTTTTGGTAGCTGCATAGATAAAGCGTCGTTTCACGACTGCCTGGTAGTGGCAGCTGCAAATTCGAGTGACTTGACGGCCATCTTCAGAGCTCCCTCAAACGTCTCGCTGCCTCCTATGAACCCACTGTTGTGGACAAACACACAGTTTGGTATCCCGGCAACCTCGTCAAGCTCCGCCCCTCTCAGGCCTCGCCATGGCTCTGGCAGCGACAGCCTGGAAACATTTTAGAAACACACACAAATCTGTCGGATTCAAATTAATTATACTAGTGTGGAATTGCGTCATTTGTGTGTATTTTTCCAAAACATCAATAGATAGGGAGGGGTGATAAGAAATTCACGAACGTTTTTGAAAATACCTGTTCTCAAAAGAGTTTTTGTTGACAGGAACTGCCTGTGAAGAAGAAAAAGACTAATTATGGCACAAGAGTTGCCCTGGATGTGTGTTGTGCCTTTGCCCTTGCCTTACAATCTCATTGTCAACATAGAAACATTTGACTCCAACACCACTGTATATTTGCATCAGAGACGTGTGGCTAATCTTTCTTTACCTGAACGCGCCACTTGGCACTGTTGCCCTCCTGGTAGAGGGTGTACTTGATGGTGGGGGAGAGGGCCAGTGACTGCTCCAGGGAGGACAGATGGTTCTTCCATGGACTAAACTGCTCCAGCTTTATCACTTCTCCACTCACATGAACCTGGGAGTACGTATATACAGCACAGCTCTGATCTGAAGGTTAAGAGAGGAAATGTTGGCAAAATTTTGGGCTTTTAGACATTACGTGGTTAGAAGTTATGTTCCTGCAATGTTTTTGTCAAAAGCTCAGGGAAAAATGTAATCTCAGTGAAAATTCTCATTCTCTCATCATCTCTCTCTCTCTCCATTAACCTCATGTCGAGTTGCGATTGCCTTTTCAACAATCTTTTTAGCTGGTAGCCAGCTCTTCAGGAAGTAGTCGATGACCTCGAGGAATTCCCCTCCAACTAATTCCATCGCCTTTTGAACCTCTCCTACGTATGTAGATCATTATTTTTTGAGAGGGAATTAATTTTGAGGTGTCTCTACAAATATTTGTGGGTCAGAATGACTTAAAAAGAGGGAGAGAGAGAGGGAGAGAGAGTGGGAGAGAGTGGGCAACAAGTCCCATGTTCAGAGGTTCCACTGATATGGTAACTAAGCATAGTAGTATAGTGTCTGACCATTGAGTCTTCACCGGAGGCAGTTTCGTTCCAATCTGGATTAAGTCGTGCCACTCTCTTCCCAATGGTACTGTTGACACTGTACCTGTAGCCAACAGGCAATAACTACGCACACATCAACTCCATTACTATAGTATGCTATAGCATAACAATCACAATACGCAAAGATCCATCTTCAATAAAGAGTCCCTATCATAATATGATTATAGTGACCGAGTTCTTTTAATCAAACGCAGCACACAGAATAGGCACATTGACATAATGTTCACACATCAGTGATGGCTTACAGTCGGAACAAGTATCAACGGAACGATTTTCAAAAGGAGTAAGCCATCATCATTCATTACCTTGGCTCCCCATCTCGGTCGCTGATGCCATTATCTACCGCATCGATCTCTTCCATGAACTCGGCATACACGTAGTCATAGAGATCCTCTAGCACTGGAGTCTCCGTGGCGATATCTACAGAGAGATAAGCAAGAAAATGAGAATATAAGGAAATATTCTAGGTTGCAATAATGCCTAAATCATGTCGCTTTTGCATTTTGCAGGCAAGAATGGTAAAAAAATTTTCTCTGCAAGCTACGGAATTGTGTGAAAACTTTCTCGAGATACACATATTATTACGTTACCTGAGATTTTTGAGAGTACACGGTGACCAAAGTGGAGGTACACCAACCCAGCGCTGCTCAATTTCGTCGCCCGTCTCTTCTTACCTTCACTCAGACTGCTCATCGTTCCTGTAAACGACCTGCACGTACCACACAATGAGAAGAACGAAATGTCCATACCATTTTAATGCCGAGCTCTCGAGGCAAATACTTACCGGTAAATTAGAGAAAACAAGAGATTATATACATGTCAGATTTCTGCAACTGCAGAATAATTAGCTAATTAGCTAGATTTTTGCTTGACATAAGTAAGGGACACTAGATATAAGTATTACATCCCTATCATAGCTCCATGCATCTATGATGCTAGGTACCATGCCAATCCCTATATACTAAGTACTACCGTACTTAGTGATACCTTTGATGGTGGTCATAGCGATGTTTACTGGAGTCGTAGACTCCGCCCACATCAACTACGACGTCACACGTCTCTAGAATGCTCTCGTTTCGAGTTCTCACAATTCTAGCGTCACTGAATTCTGGTAACTTCTTCAGCATGTAACATGCTAGCACCTGCAAAGACATAATCCTTATTTGACCCGTAGCATATAGTGATGATGTCATTATGACCTCATCGCAGTGAAAAGTTCCATCGTGGGTCCCAATGGTCTTTTCGGCACAGTGTTTCTTGATTGTCGACATTTGCAGCAGTCTTGGTTTTAGTACAGCGAGCAGCTGCTTAGCTCTGGAGCACTGGGAAGGAAAAATGGCGGCAAGCATGGACTCAAGAGGACAGTCGACAGCGCGTCTGCAAAGCTTACCTAGGAGTTCGAAGTTCAAACTGCACCAAGAACCTGGGCTACTCGCGCGAGTGCGAGTGCACCAACTGAGCCGCCTGGTCCCGCGATGGAGACGGACGGAGGTAGCGGAGACGGAGAGGGTCGCTGGAGAGACGTGCAGAAGCTGCTGACTCGAGGGTCGCCGCTCGCACACCCTGATTTTGAACCCAGTGAACAGGTCACCCTTAGCCACGTGCACACGTCTCCTCCTCTTTGTACTCTGCCTCATCCGTGTCTGTAGACACATCAGTTCCTGAGGGAGATCTGCAAGGTGCTGGTGATAGGAGCTGGTGGTCTTGGCTGTGAGCTACTGAAAGACTTAGTATGTGGTCTTGACAACCTCTATCTGCACTCCTCCTGACCTCTTTCTCTCCTTCCTTCCTTCCTTGTATCACCCCCCTAATCGCTGCTGCTATTCTGTTGCCATTCTGTTGCCAGGCGATGATGGGTTTCACCAAGATAGACGTGATTGATATGGACACCATTGACATCTCAAATCTCAACCGCCAATTTCTATTCACGTGAGCCAAAATACCTCATATAAGGAGACCGATTTCCCATCTCCTCTTGTGCCTTACCTAAACATTTCACAAATCTGTCAAATTTGTGAATTGCATTTCACAAGGTGTGAAAATTTGGCCTTCCTGAAACTTTTTCTGCTATAGTACAGTTTCATTTAGCACTGTATTATTGTACACTGCTCCTATTTTTTGTGGGTGGTGGTGTATGTAGTGATGATGACATTGGGAAGCCCAAGGCTGAAGTTGCCGCCAGCTTCATCAACGATCGAGTGGCCGGCTGTAATGTTACTCCGTATCCTTCACATCTTCTCTCTCTCTCTCTCTTTTGGTGCTCTCATACATTGCTTCACTCAATTTCTTGTGCAATCGATCAGTAAAAATAAATGGCAAAGTGCACATAAATCCATTCTTCCTTAACTGCAATACATCTTAGTCACTTTGCAAAGATTCAAGACTTTGACATGGACTTCTACAAGCGTAAAGAACTTATTAACCTCTTTCTCACTTGCCCCTTACTCTCAGCCCATATATGTTTTAACCCTTTCTCTCCTGCTCCTACCCTTTAACCCGTTCTCTCCTACTCTACACCTCTCCTGTTCTGGACCATAACCCTTTCTCTGTACTTCTTACCCTTTAACCTTTCTCTCTTCTCTACCCTTAACCCTTTCCCTGCTCTTACCCTTTCACCTTCTCTCCGTCTTACACTTTAACCCTTTCTTATCCGTGCAGAATTCCACATCATTGTGTGTGGACTCGACTCAATAGTTGCTAGGAGATGGATCAACGGAATGGTGGTACGTATACGTAGTGATGTAATGATTACATCATCAATGTTACATTTTAGCTGGGCCTCTTGAGTACGATGAAAACGGTGACCTTGATCAGTCTACCATTATACCTCTGCTGATGGCGGAACAGAAGGTAGACTTGTAGTACTCTAGAACCTCCAATAATTGATACTGAATAAAGGACACTTGTCTATTTCGTGTCGGTTAATGAATGTACAGGATGCTTCAAGGGGAATGCACGGGGTCCTCTCGCTGGACTATCACCTGCGTGGACTGCACTCTTCGACCTTGTACCCTCCTCAAGTCATCTCCACCGTAAAGTTAAAAAAACGGTAAAATATTCCTTTGTGTCTTCTTTTTTTGAAGGTCAACTATCCGTTGTGTACGATAGCCTCGAAACCACGCCTCCCCGAGCACTGTGTTGAGTATGTCAATATTCTACGTGGGACAAAAGAAGAAAACACCTTGGACGGTACGTCATATCAATAGTGATAATGGAATGTTGAGGTGGATGTTTGTGTCACTCTCTCTCCGCTCCGATCCTTGCCCCTATCCTCGTAGCTGCGTCCCGCCTCGTGTGTCGCGCACTACAGTCGGTCGCTAGCCACTCTCCGCTCTCCTCCTCTATCGCTCTGCACGCCTCCTCCGCCAAGGAGTGGTATCACTGTGATGGCGATAATCCAGTCATCCATGCAGTGGGGTGCGAGGCCAGGACAGGGCAAGAGAGTATGGCGTTCAGTCACTACAGACTTGCCAAGGTCGCTAATAGACTAGCTCAAAACCCACACACTTTCTGCGAAGTGAATGCGAGTCACACAATCGTGGCATATACTCATGCTACCAACGTGCAATTCTGGCAACAGGTGTTGGTGAGCGTGGATCTACCAGCGGTAGCCTTCGACTAATGCATCGTCCTTTGCTGGTGTAAGGACTGACAGTACTGTGTCATTTGCACAAGTATGATGCTGTTCTCTACGTACTATCACAGTCCGGTAGAGGACTTGGGATATATCGGGATGAGCATCTGCATTATGCCCAGACTTGCGAGTGTCATGTCACTTCATATCTATATCATAGTGTGTGTGCTATGAAGTCTTCAAGCTGGCAACCAGGTGTGTATGTACTATATATATACTGTGAACACACAATTATACTTATACGTGCAATGTAACGATGATTTTGTCATAAATTAATTGTCCACAAAATTTATTAAATACTTGTGCATTGCGTCGTCATACCGTGAAACACTATAAACCCAGCACGACACATGACATGTGTGTCCAGAGCCTCATAAGTCCATAAGAATTATATGGGGTGATCACTACTAGGCGCTAATACTGATTTATACATCAGTTTGGCGTGATTTAGCACGAGCTCCCATGGCGGCAATGGGTTTTGGTTTATTTAAACACCAGCCGTCTCCATCACTTTTCTGCTTATTTAGGCAGATCGACCTATGGAGGTCAAAGGGCGTTCTTGATTAAACCACCTTCTCCCAGAATTGTAGCTAGATCACTACTTCCAAACAGTTGCAGCAAGCCGCTGCAGAAACTTCATGGGGTCAAGCACAGACGGTAGTCTTACACCTACACCTTTGAGGCCGAGATGAAGGAGGACTGTATTTCCTGCTCCACTAAACCCATCTCACTCCCGTCACACCGGACACCACGCGCTGCAACTCTACGACTACCTCAGGAGAACCGTAAAATTGTGAGCAGCACGGACAAAGAAGAGTTTTAGATCAGTCAACTATTTTTTAGCAGCATGGCAAGGAAGAGCTTAGATAGTCAACTATTTTTAGCAGCACGGCAAGAAGAGCTTTTAGATAGTTCAACTATTTTAGCAGCCACGGCAAGAAGAGCTTTAGTTCAGTCCAACTATTTTTAGCAGCCACGGCAAGAGATCAGTCAACTATTTTTGCAGCCACGGCAAGAGTTTTAGATCAGTCAGTTGAACTTTTTAGATAGCACGGGAAAGAAGAGTTTTAGACAGTCAGGTTGAACATCTTTTTAGCAACCACGGCAAGAAGAGTTTTAGACCAGTCAGGTTGATCATTTTTAGCAGGCATAAAATTTTTTTTTTTCCTTTTATAAGGAACAGATAAGGTTTTAACCAGAGGTGTACATAAGTAGATTTTTTAGAGCAATCAAAGAAAATTTTCTCTCAAAAACTCTTATTCAAGCGGCTGATGAAGGCTCCAAGCATTACTACATTATTGATGGCAAGAATAAGACCCTTTAATGCCGTAAGTGAGTTCCTCGGTCTGATTTTTTTGGCCCCTTTTCAAAATGTTCTGGTTTATGGACCCTAGATGCAGTTGAGAGGGCGACACGACCCAACTCCAACAGAAAACTAATTGGTTAGTACATGAT